AATTGAATAATTAAATGCGTACAGATTTTCACCAGTGTTTGAATAATTGAATGGGTGCAGACTTTCACCAGTATTTGAATAATTGAATGGCGTAGACTTTCACAAGTATTTGAATAAATGAATGTGTACAGACTTTCACCAGTATTTGAATAACTGACTGGATACAGACTTTCACCAGTATTTGAATAATTGTATGGGCACAGACTTCCACCAGTAATTGAATAATTAAATGCGTACAGATTTTCACCAGTGTTTGAATAATTGAATGGGTGCAGACTTTCACCAGTATTTGAATAATTGAATGGCGTAGACTTTCACCAGCATTTGAATAATTGAATGTGTACAGACTTTCACCAGTATTTGAATAATTGAATGCATACAGATTTTCACCAGTATTTGAATAATTGAATGCATACAGATTTTCACCAGTATTTGAATAATTGAATGGGTGCAGACTTTCACCAGTATTTGAATAATTGAATGGCGTAGAATTTCACCAGTATTTGAATAATTGAATGGGTACAGACTTTCACCAGTATTTGAATAATTGAATAGCGCAGACTTTCACCAGTATTTGAATAATTGAATGGGTACAGACTTTCACCAGTATTTGAATAATTGAATGGGTGTAGACTTTCACCAGTATTTGAATAATTGAATGGGTACAGACTTTCACCAGTATTTGAATAATTGAATGGCGTAGACTTTCACCAGTATTTGAATAATTGAATGGGCACAGACTTTCACCAGTATTTGAACAATTGAATGGGTACAGACTTTCACCAGTATTCGAATAATTGAATATGTACAGACCTTCACCAGTATTTGAATAATTGAATGGGTACAGACTTTCACCAGTATTTGAATAATTGAATGGCGTAGACTTTCACCAGTATTTGAATAATTGAATGGGTACAGACTTTCACCAGTATTTGAATAATTGAATGGGTAAAAACTTTCACCAGTATTTGGGTGAACTTCTTCGACATTAAACACTCATACACACATATTGTGTACTAGAATTGTATTATTTCAAAGTCTGCTATTTAAAATAACACTTCAGAATTTAAATGAAAAATTTTTTGGATAAATAATTTTGTTCTGATCAAAATTTGTGGCTGATTCAAAGAAATGGAATGCTTCAAGAACAATTACATTAAGTTTAATTTGCTGTCTCCAGGGAAAACATTCTGACCAGAATAAAATTAAGATAAATTACTAATTTGAGAGATGTTAGAATAAATAATAAAAAAACCACTGAATGCCTATAATTGTGCGCCAAATGTTTTTTTCTTTTTTAATGTTGGCCAAAATGGTGTTTGATCTACAATTTGCAAACAATTACAAGGTGCTTACTTGAAGGACTGACAAAGGTAGACTTGCTGTTCAACCTTGTTTAATTTCCTTCAATGCAATGAAGTGAAGTGACTTATATTGAAAAGATGTATGTTCAGAATTTAATTGTGTTTAAATATATATATATATATATACTGTTCTTGAGATGACGATTCCCAAAAAACTGCCTTTCAAATGTTACATTTTTGTTACCAATTTTACAGTTTGATCATTTACAGCGTTTACAGGAACACATTTTTTGTAAAAGCCACTGTGACTTCTCGTCCTTATGACTCCATTGAAATGTTCACTCAGTTACAAATTTTTAATGAAATTTGTGAAAACTTCTCGCAAAACGAATGAGGTTTAATGTAGTTACTATTGACGGTTTCGTACAAGCTTTAAATGCTAGTGCTTGTATGACCTTGTGTAAGACTTGCTAGATTGGAAATATAAAGGACAAAAAATGCAGAAATATTATTTCAATGAAAAAGTTTATGATACTGGAGAAAAAAAGACTGGCAATGCCAGAACCCTGAAATGCAAATAATTGGCAGTTACAAGATAGAGACATCAAATACTAAAATATGAGCAAAAATTCTTAAGTCAACATGTACAAACTGGGGTTAAAAATTGCAAACAAAAAAATATGAATCATTAAACTAAAAAAAAACAATTGCACACAAAATCAGTTCAGTATGTAGGTTTCATCCTAAGGGAGAAAGGATGAGCTAAAAATAACCACGACAGCTATAATCCAACACAGACTGATGCCATTTATATCTGTCAATCAGCATAGCCCAAGCAACCCTGGCAGAAAATGCAAAATAAAAAAATGGCATTCTCAACAACATCAAAAAATAGGAAATAGTATTTCAGACAAAAATTGAATACAGTTTGACAGAAGATATAAACAACACAGGAAAGTTGAATGAGTAAAGAACTGACTTTACAAGAAAAAGGCACATCTTTCCCCTATTTTGGGAGTTGACTTCTTTTTTTTTTAAACTTCGAAAAAAGACCACTTGATTTATAAATAAATTGAGGTTGTAATTACAAAAGGATATCTAACCATACACAATATTACATATACTGGTTGCTATGGATGTGAAATGTAAAGCATTAGTTGGGCTAAGCCACCACGTTAACTAATAGTTCTCTGTAATACTTAAAGAGAATTCAAACATACGATCACAAGTCACCACGTTGAAATCTTTCTGTTGTAAGCCGAATCATCATTGTATTCAATCGCATTCAGTCGTGAACTACTGTATACTCGGAAGTAACCATAAATAACAGAAAACAAGCAAAAGGATACCCCAAGCGAGGAAAAACACCAACCCGTCACCAAATATCACCACCCATCTCTACAAAATGGTCCCTGTGTTTTCATCATTTTTAAGTCTAATTTTCACCACAAAAAATGGTAAAATATGTACAGTCTATTGCTTTATTTTTTTACACTACAGAAACAGTCACCTTAAATGGGTGTAGCAAATAATGACAATAAAATTGACTTATTAACATTAATTAATTTAAACAGGAAATAGTAGACAACAATCGCTACTATACATTTACTATTAACGGCAGTACCATCGACATCTACACATATTACTTTTTTGGCAGCCGCACACTTTGGTATGCAAATGAGGTTCATTGCACTAGTGCCACACAGCCAAATTGCTAACTAGTTCTGCAATCTGTGAACGCTATGATTGGTCCTCAGTATTAAGTTCGACCCAGCGTTTCCTAAAGAAGCGCTGCATAGAATGTCCAGCTCTACCAACGTCAGAATCATCTTCGTTGAACACTTCACAGTTGTGAAAAACTAAATGTGCATCGGCCTCAAAGTCATCTCGGCAGCGATACCTGAAAATGAAAATAGAAAACAAACAATCAGTTGCCAGTTTTTATAAATTGTATAGCTTAAAGCTTCTATTAAAATGGTACAATGCCACAGAGGGAATGCGGCTTGTATTAGAACATCTATACATATGGAAATGTTGAATTTTTGGTGCTCAATTGTTCAAAAAAAAAAATGCGTGCGACTTTTATTAGGGATGTGGCTTCTAAAATAAATTTTAAAGTACTAAATTATTATCAAATTGAATTTAGCATTCTCAACTTCTGTAAAAAGTTCTATTTGCATTAATCAGTAAGGTATTTGTACTTTTCTCATGTCGACATCACAATATGACATGTCTGCATCACATTATGACAGGTCAGCATCACACTACCATATGTTTGCACACTTTTCCTTGTTTAAAGTGAAATTAGCAACCAGACTTTCTCGCCCAAATTTTTCTCCACTTTTTTTCTCCTATGCTTCACTATTTCTGGGAATGAACCCCGATTATGGAGTCAAACAAACAAAATTTTAGTAAATTTTCCATTTTTTTCTCAAAAAATTTGGTTATTTTTGTGCAGGAAAGTGCAGATTAAACTGGACTACTTAGTGAATTTGTGATAAAAAGAGGGAATTGGTGGTGAAAAGGCTAAATGTTGAACACTTGGTGGCACAAACATAAAATGCAATTACACATTTCAGTCTGTTATTTGCTTACTAAATTAAGACTACAATCGGCAAATATGTATAATGAGGTTATCATGAGAATACAGCAAAAGTATGCAAACAGGCAAAATGGGATCACATTGGTTTGTAGACACTTCACAAGACTCCCATAGTAGCAATAGTTCACAAATCATCTGCAGTAATATTTTATTAATATTGGTTTTACTTACTGTCCATCCCTCAGTTTACACTTCATGGTGTGGAAGTCCATTGGGTGTTTTATAACTTTTTTGTAAGTGGAAAATTGCTTGGTATCAACAGGCATCAAGAAAGGCCAACCATCATCATGTTTCTCCATCTCTGTCAAAATCGTTCTGTAATAACAAGAAACAGTTATATGACAAAAGTTGGTATGGCGATAAAAATACAATCGGTCTGGCAGTAGAATTATGATTAGTTTGACGTTAAATTTATATGTAGTTGCTACAAATAATGGTTCATTGTGGCACTTTGTTTTGCTGTACAAGTGTATCCATGTTTAAGAGGCTTTCAAGTTCAGGCTCGCAATATGTCCCACAGGAATATAATCACAAACTTCATTTTTCTTGACAAGTACAATTTCTTTATTCAATCCGTTATTAGTTAATATTGAGTCATTTAAATAATATGCAATTCTGCAGACTTGGTGATAAGTATGAGATGTAGTTGCTGCTATGGTTATGCATACCCCTTCTGGTGGAGTTGATACAATAGAAATATTCTGTAATATAATTGTCACTAACTACTGATATTTAAATTATTACTACTTCAATTAATGCATTCACATTAAATATTTGACCTTTGACCTTACCTGCATGGAGCCATGTCTTTAGATGATTGCTTTCTGTTCACTTTGTCTTCCTTAAACTTGTCGGACCAATCTTGAGATCTGCTATCAGAGTTACTGCTATCTGAAGTGGGAGGGGGCGACACTGGTTTCACCTCCTTCTCCTTCACCTTCTGTTTCTTTCCTTTACCCCTGGATGTTTTATTCTTCTGTTTTTGACACGCCTGGCAGAACCACCTTCCCCTGGGCATCCTGCAAAGTGAGGACGATTGGATAGTGAACACAACTTGAGGCCAAACTCCATCCACACATCAAGTGAAATGTAATCACAATTTTTCAAAGTAATTCCTTGAGCTACTCTACAGTTTATAAAAGTCGCTGTGACAAAGATTTGAAGCCACTATTTAATAATTTTGAATGAACGAACTCAAAGGTTCTCATTTGCTAAAAACACACATACACTGGATCATTGCTTGAAGTGAAAAATTATACTAACTTTAAAAGCGGTGGGTCAATACAATCAGGATGATATGCTCTTGGGCAGTTTTCACATTTTACTAGTCTGCCTTTATGTCGACATAAGACACAAATATATTCACCAGTAGCCTGAAACAGAATCAAACATTGCATTTCATTTGGATATCATCATAAATGTTACCGAGTTAAAAAAAAAAGGAAGGTAGAATACAGATTGCTGTTTGAACTCTAGAGGGCAGTATGCTTACCTTGTATATACATTCATAGCAGTACCAGTCACCTTCTGGTATACTATTCATTTTAGGTTTAAAGCAGTAAGTATGAAAACCTTTATCACAGCCATCACATAGTAATAATAACTCTTCATTGTCTCCTTTCAGACAAAATTGACAATACTGAAATGAAAAATTAAAATATTGAGAATATCTTACTTAACATTAAAAATGCTCTAGTAATTTGTTGGTATTCTACCGTAAATGTCAGCATAGCACTGTAGTACTACAGCAATATTCTATCCATTATTCAATTGTTATTAAAAGAATTTAAGAGGGAAAAAACATTTTGCTAAAGTCATTGCGACTTCTTGTTTTTAGGCTCAGTGAATAATTAACTTTTAAAGAACTTCCTGAATTTCACTGACTTTTAAAACATCCAAGCCATTGCATCGTCTTGCATGTGGGTCCCATGTGACATGTACAACGTGTAGAAAAAGTGAAATGTTTGTTTATTATAACACAAAATGTCACCGATCAGTGTCACTTTGAAAGAACCATTACATTTTTTTTTGCTAGGGATTTATAAAGACATGATGATTCTATGGCATTCACAAAGTCAAAATTGTTCGAATGACACTGACACTCCAAGTCATGGAACTAAAGTGAAATTTACACTGCTCCAAAATTCATGATTTTCACTAACTAATCAACCAATTAAAGCAGTTTATGATATATAATGTGATATAGCAGAAACATTTTCATTAGATTTAATTTCAGCGGATTTGAATGTTACAGAGATATTCACCTTTCTACATTAAAATAAACACAAATAAAGCCCTAATGGTAAGATGCAGAAAGTACATGATGATTTTAACTATATTGAGTGTCATTGGACAATTATTTCACCACTTACCACTTTCATGATGGACTTTTCCCAGGCTATTGAACGTTCTAAGAGATCTAAGCACATTCTAAGCTTGCGCAGAATTGGTGGCCACTTTCACAGCTCCTCTCCAGTTTGCCAGACCTTTGGTAACATCTTCAGTTGGGCTGCAATAATGTTAACAGTTAAAAAATATTGCATAGAAAAAGAAGCAGCAGCATTGTTCAATTATTGATGAAAAGCACCAGTACCCAGTGGGTGTAGCTAGGTAAAAATAACAGCCTGTAAGACTGGCCTATCATTGGTTGAATAAATGTCACATGATACATGTATAATAAGTTAGTTGGCTGTTACTCTCATGTTAAAAATATTTATTACATCACTGAAATGTAATCATAATCTGATAGCTTCTCTTTGTGAGCTACTGTAAAATTTCATGAAGGTCGATGTGAAAAAAACAATTTGCAGATTTCCTGACTCACGAAATCAAAGCATTTTAGTGTTTTTACAGTAATTGTTGGGATTGAGGACACGGCAATCCATCTATGTTATTTGCTTTATTAATAAGCCTATTTGCTTATTATGTAAATGAGGTGTGTCTACAAAAAAAATTAGTTAAATTTCAACGAACATACCAATACCGTATTTGCTTTATTAAAAAATGGCATTGCTAATAGAAGTATACATAACCCAAAAAATGGATTTATTGTAAGCTAGATCATTAAATATAACTTTTGATCAGAGACTCACAAATGTCATTTTTGTAATCACATAAACAACTATTTTGGTTTGATGTACTTCTATTAAAGACAGTCTTATACAGTCTCATGCAGTTGTGTAAAATGCAAGTGGCTCAGTCCACAACAGAAAACTCATAATTGTTTTAATTCAGAGAATTCAAAAGAAGAAGCAGTATTTACAAACCATTTGCATGGCTGTGCAGGGCAAGGGTGGAGTTATTCTTACCTTGATGGTCTGGAATCATCGTCTGCTGCTCCTACCCCCATCTTGTCAATATTAATCTGCACGGTACTGTAATATAAATAACATGGGATGTACTGTGATGAACTGAAATACTTTGTATCTAGCCATTTCACTCACTTTAAAATCCAATCTCAAGTATACATATGTAATATACAAAGGCTAGTTTGCCTGGCAAAATTCTGTAAATCATTTTATACCACTATCAGATGATATTTGGCATTATTGGCTGGGTGGGGGTGAAGTTGTGAGAACGTCACTGTGACTTAACTTCATCCCGCTAGCCCACCATACTTTTACATTGACTTGACTAGATAATGGTTAAAAATTCCATTCATACCAAAATTTGCAGTTTTCCCATGATGCACTAAATATGTTAAAATAACACAGTAATTGTGCAGTTCACATTTTGATTTTTTTTACACTCGCTGTAGACACTGCATGAAACTCATGATAAAACAATTGTTTTTTTATAGTGAATTGTTTATAGTAGAACTCAATGAAGCCAAGTATGTTTACACATAATCATGTCAGACCACTGGGGTAGCAGAGGAAACCAACCTTTTACTAAGAGGAGCTTTTAGATATCTACGTTCCACTGATTTCTCCAATGTAAGTAATCTATCTTTAGTTATCTCCAGAACATCAACACCACTCTTTCTGGGCTGATTCAAGATTTTCCAGGGTATCATCCGATGAGGCCTTTACTCGTGGTTTCCAATTCTGGTCAAATATGAACAGAAAAAATGTATTCAATAATCAGTGAA